TACAAAGAATTGTGTGGTAAACAAAAAAACCATCCAGTCAGCAGCAGTGCTGTTTCTAAGAAACTTTAAAGACATTGTTAGAGGAGCATGTCCAGACTCGTTAGAACAGGAAGCAAGTACAAAAATAACAGCTCAAAATAGCGGCGGTGTGCAAGAGCCCTTCGCTGACACCCCCCCAAATGGTTCTGGAAACAAAAGGGGGTCCAACCTGCTACTGTGTAGAGTGCCCAATAAAAAGGTCACTGAGTGTTGTTAACAAAGATATATGATATTATGTAAATGAAGTTGTATTGTTTATGGTTCTGTAGAGATGTTTTTATATGAAAAGAGAAGGTAATGAACATAATTGTGATTTATGGTAGTAGCTGTCAGTGATAACAGACCTGTGTACTGAAGGTGCCTGAGTAGTACATTATCATACAGCTTTTAGTGACCTCTGCCATGCTTTCATTGTCAGATATGATTTTCCTGGTGGATGAAACTGCCATACTTTAAAAATGGTATTTATCAAAATTTCTGGAGGTCCTGACCTGACTAGTTAGTATTTTTGCTTCTCCCGTTACTTTTTGGCAGTGACGATGTGCTTATTGCCTTGTTTCGCCCTCTCGGGTGAGAATGCACTCGGTTTCGTTTCCCTGATGCCATGACCTCCTCTCGCATTTCGAAAGTCATCACCACGGCGCCCCCAGATTCCCAGGGCTCGGGTCCGGTGGCTTTTGATTGGCTGAAAAAGCTCAGCTCCTTGTATGTTTTTGGCTCGTGGGAGAAGAGTGCCTTCATGCAATCAGCGAGCCCACATCTTTTCATGCCAAAACTGAACCACAGTAGAATGGTGGTTTCTCATTTGGGGGAGGGGGATAAATACTCTTTTTGTCAAATGTGGCCAGTTTGCCGAAGAGCTTGTAAATGCACTCTTCAGAATGCTGTGCCCTTTCTTCCCACGAGTTTGGAGACATTTCTTCATTCCTTGAGTATTTCTCCCAAAGCCCCAATTCTGTATATTTGCTCCTGAAGTCTTTCATGTTTCCCATTGATTTTGTGCTGCCATTGGTTGCTTTTCCTTTTTCCCATTGAACAGCACTTGTGAAAATAAAGGTTACCCCCCCATTTCAAGGCAAATATATATATATATATATATATATATATATATATATATATATATATATTGAATGCAACTGAAGTACAATTTAATTACAGCTTGAGGAAACTGTTCCATTAATTAAAAAGCTGAAGTGATCCATCAGCAAATCTGCTCCTCCTTTGGGTTTTACAGACCCGGTTGCTATTACAGAACTTTCTGGTGCTTTCTGTATAAGCAGAAAACCACAGATGACTACCACTGCGTTAACAGAGTCCAAATGAAAGCCATCCTGTCTGTGTCCGAGCCTCCTCCTTCAAAGTGTCTCCTCCTCATCCAATCGCAATTTTGTGCCATTTATTAACGAAATATCCTGGGGGGCCGGGGGGGTATGGTCTTCTGGTCTTTCTGAGATAATGGTCCTCAGAGGGATTAAGTTCAGATTCAACACTAACTGAAAGGCTAAGTTATTCCATTTCATTTAAAAAAAATGCAGTGTCACAGCAGCACAGAAGCCGTTCACGTACATTACAGTTTCTTTTGAAAATTTTCCACTCAACTTTCAAGTCCAGATAATTATTTGTGCTGAGGTTTTGGTTCAGTCACCATTGTTAATTACCGTAGCAGTGATAGAACATGAATTACGCTATTCATTTTAATGGCATTTTCATTTGACTAATTGACTTTTTCAAAAAAAAAAAAAAAAAAAAAACACTTACTTGGACTTCCAATGAAGCTGGGAATGGAAGAATTTTTCCATGAAATAGATACCGTTAGCATGCAGATTGAGAATCGCAGGTTAAAAGGGAAATGCCTCTTTCAGAAGTGCGCCACATTTCAATAGCAGCAGCACGTCATTATTCTGAATGATTTTGATTGACAAATGGCTCTTTTTCCTTTTTTCTACATCCTCTTAAGCTGTGACCCTCTGCTGTCCAATTCCATGCAGTCATCGAGATCCAGTCACAGGTGGGATGCAGCAGATGTAATCCCCAGCAACAGAAAAACATTTGGGTCACATGCTCCATGGTCTTAACAAATTAGCCTCCTTGCCATAATGCAGTAAAGTCTCAAATGAACACTTTCATGATAAATATTACTGTCCTACATTTTAAAAGCAATAATTTATCGGCATTTTAATTGGGGGGCATCTTATATAACTTTTATCAGAGGGATTGTTTTGGTGTGTGATCATGCTCTTTCATTTAGAAATTTTATCATCTTTCTCATGAAGACTCGCAGTAATAGCATTGATTAACTCTATGTCCTTCAGATGTGTCAAATTGATGTGTAACATGTAGTTATTGAAATGACTGACAGAAGTGTGTGTGATTTCTTTTTTATGACAATGGATTGTTTTTGCTCAAAAATGGAAAGACTTTCCCATCCTTTCCTCATGGAACCCTTACCTTACATTGATGATTTATCACCCTCCTCTATTATCAGGTGAAGTCTGTTGTTTCTTCATCTGTGTGTAGAGCAGCAGTCCTCTGACGCAACTCTCACAGGTATCTACTGCGGATTGGTGAAAGTAAACAATATACAGTTATATAAATAAATAATCATATGAATAAACAAACAGTCTTTAGTGCATCTCTCGCTTGGCACCTCCTACTGCTTCAGTCAGAATAACCCAACCTGATGGTGCAATTTATTACGATCTGCACTGAGAAGCAATATTGCACTTTGGGGAAAAAAGTTGCCATGGAATCATATAGATCATAGACACGTAGACGAGGATCTAAAGTGTATAGACATGCTTAACCTCTTGTGAAAATTCCAGGGCAGTCACTGGAACAGCCTTGTGTTGTTATCACACTGTATCATTGGTTATTCAGTACATGCACAAATATGATGGAATTAGAATTATGGAACTCAAATTCTATACGCTCTGTTTACCTAACCCGGCACATAATATCTAGATATTCCGCAGGAACATGCGATTTTGCTGCATGATTTTTATTTTCACAAAGAAAATATTCCAAAAAATAACTTTAACAGTTTTTCATCATGCCGCTGTAATGTTTATAAAACTGTTTAAGATTGATTCCAGTAAGCTGTTTTGGATTATATCAGTCTAAAGTTGCTCATATTGTTGTATTTTTTTCAGTGTAAGTTCTGCAGATCTGGCAGGTCAGTGTTCAGCACCTAAAAATCGCTGTATCGTCCCGGAGCCAAAAGTAAGTTCCGGAATGGAAAATGGGTCCTCTGCTGCTTCTGGCTGTAGTGACCACTCAACCCTACAAGTACTGAATTTCATACAAGCAGGCTTTGGGCTGTGTGTTTGCACTGAAGAGCTTCAGCTTAAGCACCTGCTTGAAGGAAGGAGAGAACTGCTCCAGGGAGTTGGGCAGGGGCCCCTCTTGTCTTTAACCCCCTGACTTACAGATTGTATCAGCTGAATGCATAATGCATTCAAATCAGCGACCAATGCTAATGCTAAGCGCTAATTATGCGCTGAGGCCCAATTTCCTCTGCTATACAACCCAGCGGCCGCCACTCTTACAGGACCCGTATAGGAGCCAGAAGACATTCCCCGAATCTCTATCTGCAGTGACAGCTTCTCTGCCTTCGCCAGAGGACACGCGGGGTCCTTGTAGCAGAGGAAGCCAACACGTTAGCTTGTTGACAAAAATATCTTTAATCTGTTCATAAGGTGACGTCACATTGGTAACAAAGCGTCGCCTTCTCGCTCGTGTCTCTGCCCTCTTTCATTTCCTGTCCTGCAGGAAATTGCCTCCCAGTCGGCTGATAGCTTTCTGCACAGACGCAACTTATCTCCCCCTTGTTTTATTAAAGGGAGGTTTGTTTTAGGGCGCAGTCATGCGGAATGTTATTTAGACAAATGTAAATCAGGTGTCAGTTTCATAGTAATATATCTGACTTATAAGTACAACTCAACAAGATTTCCACGAGCATGGTTACAATTAAAAACACTGGCACCGATCCTATGAAAATGTGAATGAATTGTACACTGATTCATTTTACAGGCTTGGAAATTAACAACATTATTGCCGGTGATGACTTCTTTGACTCTGGATGTACACAGAGAACCAGTGTACAAAGATACACAATACCCACAAAAGTAATGGAATGTGTATATATCATCAGATTTATAACTAGCTATTTTAGTCTTTTATGTATGTTAAATGTAATATTGTCTTTGCCTTGTTGGAGGAGAAGGATAATACAGAAACAAATCTCAAAGGGAAGTAGATGGGCTGGAATTATGTAACGCTGCATTGGATGTCTATGCTAATTTTAAGGATTTCTTCACTGTGAAATGTAGGAATTGAAAGCATCTGTTTTTGAAAATTGTTAATATAACCAGAATCATGGTGACACAGAGGCTATCCCAGAAGTCATGTTGTGAAGCATAGAGTGTCGTCTGGGTGGGATGCCAGGCAGCAGGTGTCACTGGAGCGTGGTTGGGGGTGGGAACTGGAGCGCAGTGGGAATGTCAGCAGGAAATAACCAAGAGCAGGTAGGATGGGAGAGAACGGGGCCTGCAGTGGCTGCCGTAGCAGCTGCCTCCTAACACTTTGGTGACAGGTGTCCAGTCCCCCCCCCTGAGCTCCTCGAGCTGCTTAATTTCCAGCGGATCGATGTGGCCTCTCATCCACAGGAGGTGCCGTGGCTGCGAGGGTACGGCGGATTAACACGGTGGGGGGCGGGGTTATCTGAACGAGACGCGCACCATTCAAAAGAGGCGCGTCAGCCCTTATCTGCCTGTGTGCGTCTTTCAACGGGAGTATAGTTGGCGGGGGGGGGGGGGGGGGTTGTC